AGGCCACTTTTTTTTTTTTTTTCCTGAGGCCACTTTTAAAGGTGCATAAGATCTGTTGGCATTATGAGGATGTGCTTTTGGGAGGAAACAAAATTTTACAAAACAGTCAATTTGTTCAATCTGTTTGCAACAAGGAAAATCTTTGAAATCACATAAAAAATAACCAGAGACCATGGTTATACTTGTTCACTGCAAACCAGTTCAAATCTGGTCATTAGTTAAAAGTTTATTTTTTTAGGCCCTCCCTGGTGGTGCAGCGGGTTAAAGCACAGCACTATGAAGTTTAAGCCACTTCCGCATGAGTTCGATTCCCGCCTGCCTCGGAAGTGACCACATGGTGTGGCGGACCTCTCCTGACCCGCCCGCTGCTCCCCTCAGCAGTGTACTTCGTCCATCTGCCTGTTCTGCTCCCCACTCTGTCTCTGGTGAATCCTCTCACCACTCCTGCACCTCTGGCCTGTGCCCCAGTTCTGTATGCACAAATAAATAAATCTTTAAAAAAAAAAAGTTTATTTTTTTAAATGTGGTACATCTACACAATGGAATATAACTCAGCTATAAAAAAAGGATGGACTGAAGAGGACTATGTCAAGCAAAGGAAATCAGAAGGAATAAAAACAAATACTAGATGGTTTTACTCATATGTGGAATATACAGAACCAAAACAAACCTCATTAAAAAGTAATACAAACAAGCGGGGATTACAATCAAGATGGGGAAAAAAATGTACAAAATGATGTAAAAATAAACTTTTGTAATAAAAGAAAAAGTAATACAATTAAAAAAATTTTCTTCTTTTGAGGAAATACTCCATGAGAAAGAACTTACTCAATGCCTTATGTCATATCCTTTCTTTTAAAACACAAATTTTTTTTTATGGTATGATTCTTCTCTCAAGTATTTTGTTAAATTACCTTGTCTCCATCGAGGTGAACTTCTAGGTGTAAGAACAGTACGTGCTCACAACCACACAGACCAGAAGGAAAAGACAAAATGAAGTGCATAATTAAAAGACTTCTGCCATGTTTCTCCCTTTGTCAAATAAAGCATGGAAAGGAAACTACTGTTTCTAAGGCCAGGAGTAATTCCACACTTAATAACCAGTTCTTGAAAATTCAAAAGTCTCCAGAAGCTATGTTGGTGCATATAAAGGAATATGCCACTATTATAGGCCAAATGCCAACTCCATAGTTAGGAGAATATCAACAGATGCTCTGTCTCAGTATCGGCAAGACAATGGGTACAGGGAGCTGTGTCCAAGTGAAGAGCTGTGTCCCACTCAAGGAGTCAGTGATAACTCAGCTCCAGATAATTATCGCCATTGAGAAATAAAGTTCTAGTTTGGTCAAAACTTGTGTTTAAGGAGTCAGTGATTTCTACAAAAAAAAAAAAAAATGCTCAAATTTGTAGGTCAACAAAAGCCTGTCGTTTGCCTATGCACAGTCTGAAGATTGTGAGGCACCATTTTGACATGAATTAGGATATGATTATTGATGTTCCTTGGTCACCCGGATGCTGTACTGTCTTCCTTCATATCTGGGTGTAGATGGTGTCTTGGAAGCACAACGTACCCTGCCTTTTCCAAAGAAATACTTTTACTAGGTCATGGGCTATCTGCATGCTTAACTTCATCTGTTAATGCCAAATCCTTTCATCTAAAGCAGTCCCAGAGTCTTAATGCTATCCAGTCTCATCTGCTTTAGGGCTTTGTTCAAGCAACGACTTCCTATCTTAGGTACTGAGGCCTTTATTATTGATTCCATCATCTTTCTACAAAAAAAAAAAAATCCCAATGTGTTGCCTCTCTAATCTCAGACATAAATGCTGCCTTAATTCAATTGCTATCATTCTTTCCCGACTGTGCAATTTCTTAACACCTTATCATTTGACTTCCAGTTTAGTTGCTTTGCATATTTTATAGTAATGCCAAGCTGCCAAACCCAATGGCATTTTATCAGGACTCATTTTGAGGGCTCTAAAGAAACACAGTTTACTGATCACTTTTGCACTTCAATTACACATTAAAATTGCAAAACTCCTAATGCTATAAAAACTTCTACTTTATTCTTATACAAACAGTAATATAAGTATAATCATCAGGCAAAACTTTCATTAATAAATGTGTAAATTATTAAAGTAATAACATTGTCAAGGGCTATACTTCATTTCCAGCTCCATCATCTAAATACCACTCAAACTGAAATATGCCTTGTGTCTGCAACACTCAACACTACCCATGCCATTACTGCTACCTTTAGCCTCTGCTACTACATATCACTCCACCTAATCCAGCTGTAATGTTATCTCTTGTAGGACTGTTGCTCACTCCCGCTAAGTGATCACACCCTGCTCCCCAATTACAGCATTTTATGTGACACTCATCAGATGCTGCTTCATGCCAGCTTTCCACCAAATGCACACACACTTACCACCTAATTACAGCAAAGACCACTATTCCCTCACATCTCCCTGCATCCAAGTTCACAGAAAAGTCCCCCCTTCCACCCCTGCACTGACTCTGGCTTGGCCATAGGACTTGTCTTGGCCAATGGGGCATTAGTGGATGTGATACGAGTAGAAGCTTCCATAGCAGTGGAGACTGCTTTCTGTTGTTGCTCTCTGGAACTCTGAGACCACTATTTGGGCTAGTTTACTGACGGGTGAAAACTTCATAAAAAAGAGAACATTCAGCCAGGTAAGCACCTGCTTCCCCCAGACCAACCAGACTCCAGCCAAACCACCGGACTGCAGATTCACCAAGCCAATACACTAGAACTACCCGCTGGCCACAGAATCATGAGAATAAATGCTTCCTGCCTTAAGCCACTGAGCATCTGAGAATGTAAGAAGAGATGTTAGATGTATCCAGCATACACTTATTTACACAGATGAGTAAAGAATTAATTTTCACCTCCCTGGTCATCGAATTCTCTCCTACTAAATTACAGTTTTTCTAGCCTAAAAAATGGGAATACTCTTATTCCTGCACAGGGTTTCATTTTGGGTTTGTAAATGAAAAATTAGAGGGAAGTATATTCTTAAAGGTAAAGGTGTTACAACTACACAGATATGGAGCTAAAACCAGATGCACCACTTCACTCTCTTTAGGTAAATCCTATAAACTTTTGGGGACTTATTTTCTTATTTGTAAAATAGGTAAAACAGCATCAAATTCAGAGTATTAAAGATATTATGTAATAAATATCAAATACACTATCAGGCACATTTCTTCCAGAATCAAGAGATGATTATCAAATATACAACTATTACTCTGAAATAAGGCAGTTAAAACAATTATCTCTAATGTTCTAAAATCCCTAAACCTAAAATAGTGTTTCTGTACCATCCCCTCTTACAAAACTTGTCACTGTGTCCACATACAGCAGAGGTAGAAAGTCTTGGGTGAGGTGCAAATGAACTCTGACACCTGTAACAACTGACAGAAATCTTAGCTTTTGTTCTTAACATCCCTTGGCTATCTAAACTGGAAATTTTCCTTCCAGTACACATCAGCAAGCTAATCATAAAGCTTGAGACTATTTATTCAGTGTGGGTTTGGGGGATATAGGAATAATAAGTCACTAGCAAACTACCCCAAAAGTTATTTATTATTCAGACATTTTGACTAATTCACAGTTAACTAGATAATTTAGAAAAGTCCAGTCTTTACTGTTAGTGGAGTAAAATTACTTAATGCAATTAAGATGCTATTTCAAAATATATATATAATGGCTTACACAAATATAGCATTTGGAAAGGTTCCTGAATAGTAACAAAAGCTATTAGGAAATCCTTTGTGTCCAACCCATTGAGCCTGGTTAAAATAAGGGTTCATGCTGCCGTCCACTGAGTATCAGAACATGCTAATGCAAACTGCTAGTTTAAGATAAAACAACGTAATAGTATTGAAGAGAGCAACAGAAAGAAATCCTCTTCCATGACCAATTGCTCACCTATATATGTTCCGCTGTTGTTACCAGCATAGTCAGCATCTTCTGGATGGAGTGTAAAAGCAAACAGAACAAAAGCCAAGAAATAAAGCAGAACAGTTAGAAGCCCAGCCACAGATGCAAAAAATAAATTACTTCAAACAATTATGTAAAGCACAGCAAAGAACAGCCCTCACAATGCCACCTTAAACATAAAACATTTTGTTTTATATTTAAGTTTAAAGTAAGTTTGAAACATGCAATTATTTTTTTCAGCCTTCTTCAGAGCTTCCTTGATGCAGTTCCAAAAAAATTATAAAAGACTTGCCTGAAACATGTATACTTTCATAGTTAAGAAAATTACACACTTGATCCCCAAAGTAAATTTATTTTTATAAATCAGATTCTTTGATAATATGTAAAGTATAGCACTTATTTGGCTCACTGGATTAGACAGAAAGGTTAAGCTTAAAATAGGTCCTTTCTTTTGAGGAGAATAAATACTATTATTGGGAAGGAATAAAGACATAATGTTTCTAATTTTTGATTTGTATCTTTAAAATGAATAGATAAAAACATTTTAAAATGATGTGTTTATTTCTATGATTTAAATGAATACAGAAAAATGTAGATTTGAAAATTTATGCAGTATTCATCCCTTTAGGCCTCTAATCTTTGTATAAATATATATCTGAAATGAACAGCACAGCTTATACAGAAATCATATAACTGAAAAGATTCTTCCCACATCCTTATATTAAAATGCCTGTTAATATGTTGGTATTAAGATTGTTTTCTTCATTCACCTTTGAGACTACCAACAGATGAAAGTCTAACATACTATTTTTTTGGATTATTTTCTGTACTTCTGCCATATGAAGCAAAATGAAAGGTATATATCTTTCTAAAACAAAGTCTATCCACAATTTTGGGTACTGTGATGTCAAGAGAGAAGTGAGGAGGCCCCATCACCTTTATATCTTAAACTTTTTGCTGTAGTAAATTTAATCCTACAAATATGTGCACTAAGTGAAATTATAAGACTATGCAGGGAAACTTTTATACATGTACCTTTATTTTCCTCTGAGAAGCACAAAGAAAACAAGAAAGCAAATGATTAAATGTGCAGAAAATACAATTAAAGTAGGAAGATGTTATATCCAAGGGGGAAAAAAAATTCACCTACCACACTCAAATGTTTCCTCATCTTAGAAAAGCCAAAGGGGGAAAAAACAAATGTAGCTTAAATATTTCAAAATTGTTAGCAAATAAAAAGAATTTATGAAAAACTACATTTTAGTCTGTTCTGTGGTCTTGATCTAAAAAGAATGTATACAAATAAGCAGTAACATGAGTTTTATATAGCTTACTAAGCATCCAAATGGGGAAAATAACCAAGAAAAACAGTATTTTTTCAAAATAATACCTTTAATAAGGGGGTTGTATTTATTTTTCATGTAACAGTTCTGTTTATAAATTCATCTGCCCACTCAACACAGGACAATTTGTGACAAAAAAAAAATAGTGGAAAGGAAAGATTTCAGAAATAACAAATTTGGCCCTTAAAATGTCTCATTAGCCTATCAATGTAACAATATCCTAGCAATCATCAACTTACTGCACCCTTGAAATGAATCAAGCAAACTCTATCCTTGTTCTATTTAATTTGATGAAAGGATTTGAAAAAGCAATCCTAAACAATTTGAAGTTTACTAATATGACAGCAACTTTAAAAATTTAACTTAAGAAACTCAACTTTGGTGAAGGGTAGTGAAAGTCTTAACAACTTAACAGAAGTGCAATCTAACCACAAAGCAAGGCCAAATTTATTTCACTGCAGGATCTTTGAGGGTGAAGAGGAGCCAGCAGAATAGCGCCTGCTGCCTGTCTCTCCAAACTGCAGAAGGAAAATTAAATACTTAGAAGTGAGTGTGTACTACTGCATTTTCACTTTTCACAAACCTTTAATCCTCAGATTGAACAATCTGAGCAAAACTAACAAGCCAACCATTATTATTCACGTACATACGAAGAGTCACACAAGTTCTGAGTTCGTTTATACTGATTTCTAGCTTGGAGATGCCATGGGTATCTAAAATGACTTGTTAAAATACAAGCAATGAATTTCGTGATATGAGTTAGCCAAGCCACGCAGGCTGGAAATAATACAAGCTGTGTTTAAGAGTGTCTGAGATCTCAGACACTCCACCATAAAGCAGATGGTTAGACAGAGTATTATTTCCTGTAGGAACAATAGGATATGCTGAGGGTTGCACCTTGATTAAAAACCCAGTTTTAATGTAAATCAGCAGATAAAAGCCATGTCTCACACGCACATAAACCACAAATTAAAACAGGAAAGCCAATCCACACTAAAACATCTGTAGTTTATACTGCATATAGTACATGCATATTTCATGTTTTAATAAAAGGTCATGAATATGCTGCATAAACTCTCAAAAGACTATTTCTCCCATGTAATTCTTAAGAAGAGACCAGTATTTTTAGCATGCCACGACACATACATATATATTTGATTGCAAGTACCATGCTTCACAAACAGCAGGAGGAAAAATGAGGAACAGAGTCCCTAAGGCTTATCAAGTTTGAACAAAGAACACACACATATAAAGATGATTTCAGAAGAGAACTGGGATAACAGCATGAGTCTTAAGGCACTGGTCAATGCATGAGCCCAATTATTCTCCAGCAACTCTGTAAGGCCAACAATTTCTCTCATTCTACAAATGGGAAATCACCAGGACAGAAAAAGAAAGCAAACCCATGCTTTGTGGCCCCAGAGTCTGAGTTCGTAACTATGCTAGACTATCACACCAAAATCACTTAAAATTTTTTTTATTTATTTATGCATACAGAACTGGGGTACAGGCCAGATGTGTGGGGGTGAGAAGATTCACCAGAGACAGAGTGGGGAGTATGACAGGCAGGTGTACTGAAATACACTGCTAAGGGGAGCAGCAGATGAGACAGGAGAGGTCTGCTGCACCATGTGTGTCAGCTCCAGGGCTGGAGATTGAACTTATGCTGCAATGGCTGCGGTAGTTTCATAGTGCTGTGCTTTAACCTGTTGCGCCACGAGGGAGGGCCCAAAGTCACCTTCTAATTACTCCAACTTTAAGCTAGAAACACAAATCCTGGCAGAGCTATGGGGACAGAGCGCTGCTGAGGCCGATGCTTCTTTCAAGTTTCCAGGAGCTTCCACCCACCTGCCTTTCACCCCTCCTCCTACTTCAGCTTCAATCTCAGGTGTATTTATCAGGACAGAAGAGCCAAGCAGGGTCCCTTCTCTCTCTCCTGCCTCATCAGGAGTCCACTCACTGCTATCTAAAACCAAATTATAAAAATCACAGTGGAGAGGGCACCAACATCACATAGAATAGCTCTGCTGTCTCCAGAGAATGGGATGGGAAGACTCACGAAGAGTCTGATGACCTCTCCACACCTCCGGCTGTGAGCCTGAGTGTGATGGACCTGACTCTTGTCAAGTAGAGAAACTAAATGTATCGGTGTGAAATTACTCATTGGGCCAAAAGGTTAGACCCCACCTTGGGAGCCACTTTCCTACCCCCGCCATCACCTCCCATGTCAATCTGTCCTGAAGCCTGCACTGAACAGACCCTTAACCAGCTCCCTTAGTGGCCCACCGCTGGCTCCTCAGGACAAACGAGAGACAAAATAGAGGCTTAAGCCCTGCACATGGAAAAGCTAACAGCACAGGTCCTGAGGATGTTTTAGAAGCAACATCAAATGTGTAAGGAGAACATAACTTACTAAGATGAAAGAAAAATCAGCAATAATAATTAGAAAGGCCTTCACGTCAACCATGTCATGACACAAATAATCAGATGTGCCATTTACAGCTTCCTTCATCTGCACCACCTTCCATACTAACTCTGAACTTTGGCAACTCCCAAAGAATATACAAGGAAAATGAAATGCTTCTAGTGATTTTTTAAAACTTAATATTTTTCTGTTTGCATAAAACCTCACCAATATTAAGCTAATGTTTAACAAGGTTATATAAACGACATAACAACATAAACAATCTAATTGCTAATTTTTGAGTTAACTTTCTGTATGAATACATTAAGTATCATGTAAAATGCCAAGAAGAAGGTATTTCCTCATCTTTGAAAGCCGTATGTCACAACAACCTACAAAGTTATACATTATTTTCAAAATCTGGCCTGTTAGATTCGCAGAGGGATCCTTCTTTCAGTCATTGTTTAAATCCTTTGGATGGTAAATTTTGATCTTCCAAACACAAAATGTTTCTCTTTGAAAGGTTACACTCTGTTTGAACAGACACCCTCAAATTGCAGTTACTTTCTTTTTAATCCACATGATAATAATCACAACTGGTTAAAATAAATTCTACAATAAAATATTTTGTGTTTTCACCTTCTAATCTCTAAAAGGTCAATAAATTGTATAATTCTGGGGTTTTTTAAATTAAAAGAATTTGATAAGAAATTGTGCAAAAGGAAAAATTTTTAGTTAATATGATCCCATTAAATAGTTTTAGAATTTGGGGGGTATATATTCTTTGGTGACTAAAAAATGTGAACTAAACACTGTAATCCAATGTCATATTTCAATATTCTGTTATAAAATATACTGCCTGAACAAGAATCATTTTTGAAGATTTGATATACTGGTTTTAGGTATTAATCCCATTGAAGGTAAAATAAAATCAAGGTTTGTGCGATTAGAAAGACAGTTTTTTAAAATATACTTAGATTCAATAAAAAGAGAACAAACATTTCAAAGCTATCAAAGAAATTCATATTTCTTTTTTAAAGGTTAGGTGATATCATATTGCTTTATAAACGCAACTGAACTATAAAAATGTGTATTTGGCAGAAAAATTATAGAGTGCTTTAAATTATTTTGACACAAGAATTCAAGCTGCCAAGTGCCTGTCATGAAAACTACTTCTCTGTGCTACTTGAAACATTAGATACATCCTTACTCATTCCCAAAACACTTAATCTGTGTCTTTCACATAATAATCTAAAAGTTGGTCATATCAGAGGAAACCCATCAGACTTCAAGGTCTGCTCTCTGTCTGTGTTATTAATATAAATCTCTTATGTGAGAACCTACTATCAGATGAGGGAGGAAGGGAAGAAACAGAATTCAACTTTGTTTACTGGATGAACAATTTTCCAAAAATAGGAAGAGGAGAAAAAGGAAAGATGAGGCCCTCTACCAAGCCTCTAAGATTTAGGAATGCTTTAGTTTTACCAGTTTATGATTTGTTTTTTAGAATATTTAATTTTAAGGGGTAAATTATTTTGTTTGAGATTCCTATTTTCTGGATATGTTCTAGATATGCAAAGACCCAAAGAGGGAGGAAATAAACCAACACTGAAGATGAAGTGATGAAGTCTACCATACTTCAGAGTTTTGCACGAGGTCCCAGTGTTAGAGCCTAAAGAAGCTGATTTTGTTTACTGGCAACCAGACTTCTAGTCAAATACAGAAGTAAAGATAAGTACTGGGGGGCTTCTCCATTTGTATTTGACTGTTACATCGATATTAACTGAACTCCTGAAATTTCAGAGCCATCTGCCATGAAATTTCCTCCATGCAAACTTGACTTACAATGCTACGCTGGGAATCAAAAAATAAAATCATAATGAGGCATCCAGGAGGGGTATGGGATGAGAAGGAAATGAGGGATTGGGCACAGGGAGGGGAGAGGGAAGGAAGAGCACACAGGGCTGTGGTGACAGGTGGTGGTGGGAGAACAACTCTGGCCACCTCTGAATTTTGGGCATGTTTTGTTCAAAACTTAACAACCATGCAAGAGAAGAATAAATCAATATATAAATAAACCAAACATTATGAATTGCTTTCTGAGAAGACCCTTAGCAAAATAATAATAAAACCTTACTAACTGAAGCAATCACTGTAAGAAAAGTTAACTGGCTAATTTAATATTTATTATTAGTGAAGCAATCATTGCAAATACACTGCTTAAACATCTCCCTACATTTTGGCAAACTTGTAAACTTTCATGCAGAAAATGTTTATTGATCTGAGGATTTTAGAAATTTCCCACTTATTTGAACTTTTAGAAACTTCCCAATAAATTGAACTTCCAAAAACCCATCCTGTGGATTACTACCCACGCCACAAAAATAAAAGTGTTAACTTTTTGTTTGTCTTCATTGTATTACTCTATAATTTAGCAAAGTGCATGATAACATCAAGTTACTCCAAACATTTAAGGACCAAACAAAGCAAATGGCAAGATTCAGCTAAAAGTCTCTATCTCACACACAGGCTACAAAACAAAGTGCTTTCAAATGCCTTTAAAAATACTCATAACCACGACAACTTCTACACAACTTCTGAGTCCACATGTTGGTGATACAGTATTTTTAAAAAGTGAAATGGAATTTCACTTCTTTGAAAACAAAAACACTAGCTTCCCATTTAATTTTCATAGAAATATATTGCACAGGACATATTTACTATACATGAGAGATTTAATTTGGATAAAGTTAACTGGATTTATTTTTACTCAAAAATAAAGAATATCTAAATATAAAAACAAATAATGCATCTCCCAGTGAAACAAAACCCAATCAAACAGAGAAATGAAAGTAAAGATTTATAAAATTTTTTTAAAAGACAGAAAAATTATACACACACACACACATAAATATACACACACACCACACACATGTATTCATACATACACAACTGAATTCATTTCAATAAAGGTAAGTGCTGGGAAAGTATTTTCAAAAAATACTGGCACATTGAAAAAAAGTAATACAAATTAACAAATGCAAAGCCTTTAATAAAATTAATACTTACCACACACACACACACACACACACACACACACAGACCTCTGTTATAGCCACCACACATTTATACTGAAACCAGTTGGAGGAAAGTTATCAAAACGGTCGATTCACTTTATACAGCCTTTAGTGAAAACTTATCAAAAAATTTAAATAAATGAAAATTCATAATTGCATCAAATTGTTTGTTTCTAAGCTGCCAAAAGTCCAAAAAAATTTGTGTGTGGATTCCAATTCAATTAGAATCATATTTATTTCATTTTCAATTTACACATATTTTATCCCACACTAGAAAGGTGCAGGCCTCAGATTTCAAAATTCCTTCAAGAGCAAGTCAGGTGGATGCTTCTACACTCCTTTCAGCTGACTGAATTACTGGTGAAAATTCATTACACTTGAAAACAATGCAACATTCTGGTTAAACTTTAAGCTTGCTGATGTCACAATAACTGTGGCATTCTAGGACAAGTGTTTTTTTTTTTTCCTTCTGCCCAGATTTAATGGAGCAAGAACAAGCAGGCTTTTGAATCAGTGCTCTACTTTAAGTGTTTGCTTGCTCGCAAGATTTATACTCGACTGTAGTTTGGCTCTCTTAAAATGTAATTCCTGGGCTATAAGCTTCTGCAAACTGACAGAAATAACAGGAGATGTGAAAAAATGCAACAATACTAAAAACAGATGTTGGTGTAAAATTCCAGGACCATTTATTTGCTCATTTCACCTTTTAATGTACAATGTCTATGCTGAAAACACAGAACTTTTTTTCTCTTAAAATACCTAGAACCATGAAACATTTAGAGAAGATGAAGTAGGAAATTTATGGGGTGGGGACTTGAGAGAGGTGAGAAGGTGAGAGAAGTTCAAAAGTAAAAAATGCACCTTAATCATTATCTTTTCCCAGTAACATCATCTTTTTTCTCATTCTCGTTTTCTTTTAATTTATTCTAGTGATAACTCCAAATAGACAAGTTATAGGTCAGAGTTATGAGACTTCTGGATAAGAAAAGAAATAATAAGAACACGAACAATTGTTTTTAGGCACAATAACCTTGGTGCCCAAGAAAGCGATAAATATTTTCCCCCTAATCCTTACCAAGAAATAACTTACCCAAACAGCCTGGCTTTGGGAAAATACAAGCTGCACTGTAGGCTAGAATCATTGTAAGATAAAGCTGAGCCTGATTCAGAAGTCAGGGTCGTGGTTATTAACTTTTCTCATACAGAATAAACCATGACATCACTGTAAGCAACACCAAGCACATTAATATTCCTATAATGAATTTTATTTACTTGATTCCTGTGATGATCCAAAAGCCTTCACTAAGTAACTGGACCTCTCATTCTACTACAAACGTCTGCTTCAAAAGTCAAAATAAACAAGATTTGATTAATCTGTATTCTTAGTAATAAACTTACATGATTTTCTGTTGGAAATTTTCAGTGGCTGCACTAATATTTCTGGCCGTCTCAGTGCCAACCTCCTGAGGGAAAATAAGGTCAAAAAGTCAGTGAGTTGTCAATACAGGGCCAAGAGTACTATAACAACAAAGTATTAAAGAGTTTTCAGGGGGAAAAAAATGGAAATTTGGGGAGAATTATATACAACACAATCAATTCAAATTAAGAAGTAAACTCTCTACTTTCAAATTTGTATAGGTCATCCCAGTCCAGAGCCTCCTTCTTCTTTTATTTTTCAAATCAATATGGTTCAACTATCAACATGCTATTTTCCATTTGCTTTATCACAAAAACTTACAGGGCCTGGTGCTATTATAATATTTTGGGTCCTCTTCACACTTAGACAAAACCAAAACCCAGCGAGAGATCAAGGCTCGGAAGGCTGAGGTTCAGCCCTTATTTTATCACGGCACTGCTGGGCTGACATTCCACAGAGAACGAAAGGTCAGTGACGCCCAGCCGTGCTGACCGTCCAGCAGCTCACCTTTCCTGGAAATGCTTGGAGGGAATCAAGCCTGCCCGGGGGTTGGCATCACCTTCATGCTTCGCTTGCCACCAAGTTGCATCATCTTGGCACATTATCTGAAGAATATCTCCCTTTTTGAAAGAAAGTCCAGCTTCCTTACAAGGAATTGCTTTATCCTCATTAGGGTTGTAGTCAAAGAGGGCTTTGATAAACACCTAGGAGGAGGTTTCATTTAGAATAAATATGAAAAATAAGTGTGAAATAACCCACATCCTTCCAACTCTGATTTAAGAGCTAATAATTTTTTAAAATAGAATATTCATCCTGTTGTGATTGAAGAGGACAGAAATTCGATGGGAAAACATCAGCTCCCCCCACAAAGGTTTCTAAGGAATGATTACCTTTCCTTCTTTAGATGGTGTCTCCTCTTTGATGCTGGGTATAATCTTAAACGTAATTGCTCCCTGAGACTGCGCCTGATATCAAAGGAAAGAAAGACTTATAATTTCTAGAGCCAAGGAGAGAGAAGAGAAAATAGGTAGAAAACCAAACACATCGGAAAATTTACAAGCCTGGGGTTTCTACTCTTAGATAGACCAAACGGAGGAAACTGTTTTTGTAAAAATTCCTGTAATTGGAGAAAGCACTAAAGTCTGTCCAGTAAGTTAAAAACCTTTAACCACGAAATCCACTTTTACCTCTGATCCACTTCTGAAATGCCAATGAATACATTACCATCCATGTCCAGCTACTTCAAAATAGAAACGTGAAAACACACAGTGCCTTAAACACAGCGACGCTAAATGGCGAGGAAGGGTAACTACAAGGTGCAGGGACCACAGTGGGCCCAGGGGCCCGCCCCTCCACCTATTCACAAGTACATTGAGCAAATAAAATCCTGAAAGACAAATGACCAGGGCAGCAAGCAAGTAGCGAAAGCAGACCGGGGCGGGAGAAAACTTGACAGAAGTGTGTTTGCAGTCACAGCTGGGCAGATAGCTCACAGCGGGGAGGGAGGGCCGGCTGCAGCTCAGGGCCCGTGTTCATCCAGGGGCCAGAACACACATCAGGGACTTCGCTGACAGTCCCATTCTGGATAAGGGAGGACACAGAGTTAGTGTCCCAGGCGCTGGGAGCACTCTTGGAAAACTGAGACGGTAGAGAGGTGATCACTGGTGTGATCCTGAGGTCCCAATACAAACATCAGAAGGCAAACCTGTGAGGGGAGGAACCTACAGGAGCATCTGAGTGCCCTCAGAAACGAGGCTAGTGTTTGAGGCTGTGATACTGGAAACAGCTGCCCCAGCTCCCACCCCCCCTCCAGACCAAAACAAGACAAATGAACCCTTTCACTAGCCAGAGTTAAGCTCCTGGTTCTTAACAACAGGAGCAAGCACCCCAGGGTGAGGCTCTCACTGAAAACACAAAACAACGCCTGGCTTGCCATCCTGTCTCAACCACAGTCCACACCCAGTGCTGCACCCAGTGCTCCAACGCAGCCTCGGGCTGAGGAGATGCGAGGTTACAAGAGACAGGCAGACTTGGAGCTGGCCTGGTTAAGGCTCCCCACCTGCAGTTCCATTACCCACTGCACAGCAAGAGGCCCGCCCCCCATCCCCTCCCCCACACTGATGGCAAGAACCCTTCAGTGCCCTACTGTCCCAGCAACTCTCTGCCTGTTACCCCTTCCTGGAGCCAGTTCTCCAGCCACCAGGCAGGTGAAAGCTTATCCCTACCACAACCCATAAGAGCTGAAAATGAAAGGACGAAAGGACATCACTGGAGCAAAACCCCTGAGAGAAGCCGCAGTCCAAGAGAATACTCCTAAAGAGGAGCTCAGAGCAACACTGCTGAATTATAAGAACAACCCAAGCAATGGCCAATGTAAAACAGCAACAGAATAAAGCCCGAGGAAATGAGACTGTTACAATCATACTTTAACATTTAAGTATCAGGAACCATGTGTTTTAGGGCTAAATACCTAAACTGTCATATAAATACATGTTTCATTATGTATTCATTATCTGATAATGCTCAGCAGAAAAAGAATGAGGAATATTCAGTTCTACTGAAGACTGGCTAAAGAATAAAACACCAAATGTAACAGATGAATTAAAAGATGAAGACTGAGAAGTGAAAACAGGCACCACCACCCTGCCCACGAGGCTCAGTCTCCCTTTGCACAGTCTCACGCCATCCCGTTTCTCTTTAGCACTTATCATACCCACATCTATGAATTCATGTGAGCTATTTAATATCTCTTATCCCACAAAATTGCAAGTTCCACGAAATATCTGATACTTATTTACGGGCAGTGAAGGAGGACAGCAAGAGGGGCCACGAGGAGGCTGACAGGCAGCGAGGAGGAGGGAGGCGGAGGAGAAAGGGAAGACTGGGCGCGTTTCTGAGGCCGCTGTCAGGTTCATGTAGCAGGGCCTCCGTTAATTTTGGCCTTCCAAATGAACTTGAGAATTAATATTATCAAAGTATACAATAATTTCATAAGACATCTGAATTAATTTTACTACTGCATATACTTAGAACTCACAGCTATGTTGAGAGCTGAAGGACAAAGATAAATGTATCACCGACAACAGAGTAGATGCATCTATTAAGTACCTGATGTGAGACGATCCCATAATAAACTGGTCAAACAAATTGCATTTAATCCTCAAAACAGTCCAGTGATGTATTTCTTCTTACTTTGTAAATCCACCAAATCCAAATCCTTTATTCATAAACAAGTTTAAAATACAACCACTCAATTTAATCTTCATGCAATTTAAAATAAATTTTCACCTTACCAAAATCTGTATTACTTCCTCTGGCCTTTTATCCTCAACTGGTATCCCATTCACTTCCCTTAGTTCATCACCGACGTGAATAAGACCTGAGAGATAACAAATTTGGCATCTAAGCAGTGTTAGCTACCAAAAAAGCAGTCATCTGTAAGCTTTTCCACACTCAAAGCATTAGTAAATATTAACGGTGTGGACTGGAAAAAAGACTATCACACTTCTCAGGTTTCAGATTATCTCTCTACTCCAGCAGTGAATCAAGACTACAATATAACAATGTTGGCAAAGAAATGACAACAGCGCCTTGCTCTTTCTCTACAAATGCATACTATCTTCATGCTATAAAATAATTTTCATTTTTTTTAAAGATTGCATTAATTTTAGTTAGTACTTTTCAAATGAGAAACTCTGCAATATGTCCTAATAGAACTCTGGAAATCCATGTACACTAAGACCATGAAGTAGGGTGCATTTCACTTACAATTGACCTAAATAGGTTTCCACCTTTCAAAACAGAAAATAAAAATAAATCCTACTACTCATTTTGCTGCATTATAGTCAAAGACTGTGATCCTCTTATCCATGTATTGGAAATGTTACCCACTGAGCAGGCTATGACTCATCAACTCCCGCCCAACACTGAAACTCTCACCACTTCTGTCCGCAGCTCCTCCTCTCATGATTCGAGCTACAATGATGGCCCCACTCTGCTCATCTCTCTTAATGGTGGCTCCCTTTAAAAAAGAAATAAAAGAATCTCTTGTGGGTAAATGTGTATATGGAGAGGTGGTGGGGGAAGGGGACAGAAATAGACCTTCATTTGGAAGTCTACAAAATAATAAAGGACACAAGAACTCATGACGAGACACAGAATTTTCCACCTTATACAACATGTAATATTTTAATGCAGTCTAAAAAATCCTTTTTAATCTTTCACCTCCTCAATACTATGGGCAGCACAAGTACATTTTTCCACTGTAAATTCTTTGTATTTGAGCAGTACCTGATTTTCACTCCTTTAAAGCCTTTCCTTATTTCACTTTATCATACCACATACAATGAAGAAGACAGACTGTAGATGTGGTAAAATGAATAAAGAAATATTATCAACCATAACTCCAAAATTATATTCCCTACCCAAGGCTAAGATAAAATAACGGGAGAAAGATGGCTACTCCAGGTTTTTATGTACTAGGATTATACACAGTACAAATAAAACTACCATTTTGGCATAAAGGTAGGAAACAATTACAAACAGAAACCAGAAACCCATTTATTAATATTCAGCAGCTAATTAACTGAATACTGTTTGGTGAGATCAGGTACACATGGTTACTGAATACCTACTCATGATTTTACTTCCAAGAAACTGCCATTGTTTTGGAAAAACTATCCTACATTGCATCACACAGTGAAAAAAATGCACATTAAGTGGACACAGAATTCCTCCAAACGATGAGCAATAATCCATCATGGTTTTGGTGCTAAAATTCTGCAGAGGTTTATAACACAGAATTAGGTCACTGAAACAAGACTTTCTCCACCAACGGTCATAGTGCTTTTCAGTACAGGACCGTCCAGTGTACTGTGCATGACACTAGTCCCTTTGGTTGACCCTGTGATTCAGTCACCAAGACCCTACCACTTGTCAGGTCCTGTTCTAAGGGCTTACAAGGCAATGATAAAAACAAACAAAAAACAACAAAGATTTTTGCCTCCTTAAGGAACATACACTCTAACAAGAGTCCAACAATAAGCGAATGATTTAATAATTAGAGAAATAATTTGTAGATATTGTAGGGACTCTAGATTTTATTCTGAAAGGGAAAACATGCAGGGTTCTGAAGCAGGAGTGCCAGAATCTAAAAGGATTGCTCTACCTGCATTAAGAAAAGAGCTGACAAAGGCAAGGACTAAAGCAAGGAACAAAGATGAGGTAGCTACAATGATCCCAGGAAAGAGGATGGAGGTTTGGATCTTATTGGCAGAGGCAATAAAACCACACTGGATGGTCCTGTATTGAAAAGTGTAAGGACAAGTGTCTGGATATATCAATGGTTAAGCCAAAAGATTTCCCAATGGATTAGAAATGGAATGTGAAAGAGTGCTATCAAAGATTGACTCTATGGCTTTTGGCTGAGTAACTAACTAGAGGATGGGATTGTCGTCAACTAAGTGGAAGAATCCTACGGGTAGACCAGATCTGGGGACATGGATCGGTTTACTTCTGGGCATGTCAAGATTGAGATGTCTATTCGACATGCAAATGGAGGTATCAAGTAGACAGATAAACATAAAAATTTAAAGATCAGAAGAAAGGTCTGGAAGAAAAATTGCCCTGGGATTCACGACACACAGATGTTTTTTAAAGTCAAGAATTGGGTGAAATCACTTCCAAATGAAAAAATAAAAATACAAAAACCCTCTCCAAGAATTATGGGCATTTTGTCATAGATACAAACTCTCAAGTGGGCCACGCTGCTGTCGCTGTCTCCCCAGCTCCTGGAGGATCAGTACCCACCTGAGGAATGACCTCACTTTCCACATCACACTAGTACTTGGCTTAGCTTTCTTTTTGATGCCTTCACTCTTGAGGATTTCTATGTCCCTGCTTCCCAAATTCCTACTATCCCAAATCCCTTGATGTATTCCTAACGCAATGTACTTGAATAAAAATAAGATCAAAACTCAATAAAACAGAGCACAGTATATATGATATAACAGTCTTGTGACAGTTTGCAAATGCAAAATGAACTGAATTGAATGTTTAAAAATTTACCCATTTTCTTACATAATTATGTTGAATTTATTTCATGTTAATTTTGACCAATAAAATGCAATACAGAAAACTTTGGCTTAGGGTAGTCTATTTATAGCCATTTTATTTGCTTCATTTTCTTTTATTTTCCCAAATCATATTCTATTACATATGAATGTTCCATTCATTTTAAAGTTTGAGAACACCAGGGAAGCATATTTTAGAGAATAATTAGTATGTGCTCAATAAATTTGTCTTTTATCACAATATCTACTCAGATCTTCACATAAACTATAGACCAAACCTTACCAGTGGTTCTCTATTTTTGACTAGACGGATGATCTTTACTGAGTCTTCCTCATCATCAATATCATCAGGCATAGGAGGCAACACAGGGTCATAGCTCTTCTGGGCCACAGTATCATGTACAGAGAGCAAAGCCTGACAGAGACAGAGGTTGGAGACAAAGTGAAATAATGAAAACACAAGGCCCTCCCTGGTGGCACAGCGGGTTAAAGCACAGCACTAAGAAGCTAAAGCCACTTCAGCATGCGTTCCATCCCCACTCCAGAGGTGACCCACATGGCACAGCAGACTCTCCTGACCCTTCTGCCATTTCCCTCAGCAGTGTACTTCATCAATCTGCCTGTTCTGTTCCCCACTGTGTCTGGTGAAGCCTCTCACTGCCCCTTCACCTCTGGCCTGAACCCCAGTTCTGTATGTATAAATAAATAAATCTTTTTTAAAAAAAAAGAAACACAAAGACATCAACCTAGAAAGAGAATCAGAGGGGGGTGTAAAATACACCCTTATATCTTGACATAAAGTGGTAAGATGGTCACTATATGAAAAGGGGTCATTTTCAAACAGGGAGTATGCAGAACAACAGAAGGGCCACCTCCAGCCCAGCCCAGCCCATGAGCCATGCAATGTCCTCTAACCTTATACTCTCCGGTCCAGCCTTAGGAGGATGGCTGTGGGGGGCAGGTGTGCCATTGTTTGTATTGGAGGTGATGGGTAGGAAGGGTATGTGTTACTTCTGGGAGGGAGGGATAAGACCACAGTCCAAGGCCAAGGAGCCAGTCTGAGAAGACCACATACATTACACAATCAATACAAGTGACTCTGACTCCTTTTTGCTTTCTCATTTCTAAATTGTGTGTATAATATAGTAGATTATTAACATGTATGAAGTAATAAAAAGTAGTGCTCATCCTGACTGATGTGGTGGTAAACACAAAAATTGATCATATTGGTCTTAGGGACCAAAGATGAGGGAAACATGGGAACCTGACAGGGAGCAACCCAGATGCTGACTTTCAGCTAACTATTCCCTCCTCAGTGGCATCACGACCCATAAGTCACACAAGCCAAGAAGCCTGGAGAAATCCTTGATATGTGTCTTCTCACCTGTAGTCCCAACAGACAATACTTAACCTGGAAAATCTACATCCAAAAGATACCTTGAGATCTGGTACCTTCTTTCCAGTCTAGATGACAGATCATTGAACTCAGCCACCTGTTTTTTGTAAGTAAGGCTTCACTGAGACGTGGACCTGCTCTTTCATTTATGTATAGTCTATGGCTGCTGCCTTCCACAGGCACAAGACAGAGGAGCAGAATGCTGTTCACATAAAAATTTGTTAGATCATTAAAGTCATCATGTTTTTCCTGGAACATCTCGATAGCTTCCAAATGGTGTCACTGTGTTCACTGCTCGTCCACTTTGAAACTTATGACTCTCAGTATAGACACAGTGAGTATTTTAGAATTGTATCACTTAATTGGTCTACTAATGTCTCTTTCAATATCTCACTGGCCTTGGGATAAAGATACATTCTTCTACATATCCTAAACATCTCCCATTCCTCTGAAACCTTTACTGCTCTCCTTGTCACTCAGTGAAAAAAAATCCTCCTCATAGAGACCTGGCCAAAATATCCAATATAAAAGTGAATCCCACATTTATTTGATCTCATAATATGTCTGTTGTCACCTCTATAAGTAGTGTTCACAATATAATCATATATGCATTTTGTGCTTATATATTTAACAGGTGCTATCCAATGAAACAGAAGCTCTAAGATGGGAAAGACTTGATGTCTATTTTAAAATCAAATCTTTTCACTGTCTTTACCATATAGAGAGTAAAACAATTCATACATGCACAGCCTGATGAATTTTCAAAACATAATATTCCCTGCAATGAGCAGTAAATGAGTCCTTGAGCTCTAATTCACAGCATAGTGATTACAGGCAATTTTGAATTATGATTCTCAAATACGCTGAGACAAGAATTTATTATTCAAACCATTAAATTGACATAATAATCACGTAACATGGTAGGTGTGCCATAACATTACCACAGTGATCATATTATAATATATAAATGTATCAAATTAGCAGGTTGTACACCTTAAATTTACACATTGCATAAGAAATACTTCAATTAAAAATAATATGCCCATGTAAACATGGCCAAAAGAAAAACTACATTAATTAAACCCCAAAAACCCCAACAGCCAGCAACTTCTATCTCACTTTCCAAAGTGATAGTTTACTTCTATTTGAAAATTACATGAATTATAAGCACATGTTCAATGATTCCCTGACATTAAGTTAGTGAGATTCATTTGTTCTATAACTGGTAGCAGCAGTCACCCAGTTTTCATAGTAATGGGGATTACAGCATAGGAATATTTCCGTTCCTTTACCCACGGTATCTTGAGTGATCTTTACTAAGTTTTCAGTTCTTGGGCTATCATCAAAAGTGGAGCTATAAGTATTTCACGTTTCTTGATATACCCACAAGTCCATGTTGAGTAATTATATTTCAGATGAGAATGGCTAAGTCATGGGTTAGAAGAATTTTTAACATTAGTAGAGACAATTATCTTCCCTTTTTTTTTTTAACTGAGGTAGCAGTGGTTTACAACGTTGTATGTGATTCAGGATTATAGGTTCACACATCTCAGAGATACCTTACCACACCACACCCATCATCAAGGCACCCTAATCCTCCAGCATAGTCAGGGGCCCACTGCCCATCGAGACTGGCACCAACTCCCACCCCCTCCTATAGCCTCCATTCTACAGCCAGATTTCTGGGGCTTGTTTTCATTTGGTTTGTCTGTCACTCTGTTTTGTTTCTCTATATTCCATATGTGAAAGAAACCATCCAGTATTTGTCTTTCTTATTCTGATATACAGTACCATTTCCCTTTCATTACTTATGTGATTTTTTTTATACTTTTTATTTTCATAGACTGTTAGATTTGGATGATCAGAATTTTGTAGATACTATTAAATTTTTGCATGTACAAACTGGTTGATCAATATAAAGTTTTTAAAAATTGGTGTAATCATTAAACTTTTGACAATTCTCAAGTGATGCTATTGTTTGAGTCTTCTTTGGATCACGGGGACTAAGCAGCCTAGAGCAGAAGTGACACAGAGGAGATTGATGCTTGCGTAATTACGGGGTGGGTGGAGAGAGATGCATGGAGGCTGTAGGTGGGAGCAAAAGGTTGTTTTACATATCATGGCAGTGGCAGGGAGTGGACATGGATACCCATGAATGAAAGGAAATATGTACAGTGAAGCTGGGGTGCTCCCAGCAGGTCAGTTCCCCAGTGAAAGGAACAAGGAGTTTCCCTGGGCTTCACTTCCCCTCCCTCACACTTTAGGGTTGACCTTTTGATGCTCACTGATAATGCAGAGAGACAGTAGAGTCCACTATGGAACTCCACAAGAGAGGGGTATTGGTAGTGTCACAAATGCAAGCTGCCCTCCCACTCAGAGCATTCATACCTGCAGTTTAATCCACAACCCACGACTCAGGTTTCAGACCTACAGAAAGCCTAGAAAGGCCAAACATCCAAAATCAAATAAAAGCAACTGTACCACTAGTTGGAAAAGGTAGGTGGCTCAAATCTCTACGATCTTACAAATCAAAATAGGTAGACAAAAACAGACAGTACATGGCAATTTCAGACCCTATGAAATATGAAACCACAAAGAGAGATTTTAAAAAGTACCCAAATGTAAGTGAAAATGAAAATGCCAACTACTAGAAACTATGGGATGGAGCAAAAGTCACATGATGTGAAAATTGCACTGCTCCTGTATTCATATCAAGAAACAGAAAGAGCTGAAATAATCAAATTTTACTCCTTAAAAGACTAGGTAAAGAGGTCTCCCTGGTGCAGGAATTAGTCTTAGACCTATTAAGCTATCTCCAGCCACTGTGGCATGAGTTCAAATCCTGTCCAGAGAGCTGACCCACATGGCACAGCTGACCTCTCCTGTCTTACCTGCTACTCTATCAGTAGACCTGCCTGTTCTGCTCCCACCTATCTCTGGTGAATACTCTCACTGTAGCCTAGATCCCAGTTCTTGTATGCATACATAAAGTAAATCTAAAAAAATTTTAAAACTATGTAAATATGAACAACAAAAGCCAGTTTACAGAAGGAAATCTTAAAACTAGAGCAGAAATAACAAAATAGAATTTTTTTTAAAAAAATTCAAAAAGATCAATGAAACCTAAAGCTGCTCCTTTGAACGATAAAGTAGACAAATATCCAACTACTGATATTTCACAAAGAAAATAAGGGAGAAAACTAAGTAGAATCAGAAATGAAAAGAGGAGACATTTCAGAAATACTGAGGATCATAAGAGACTATGAAAATTTGTATGCCATCAAGTTGAATAATATAAAAGAAATGGAGAAACTATTAGAAACACAAGCAAGGAAATTGAAACAATAGTCAAAATTCTCCCAGGGAAAAAAAAAAAAAAAAAAAGAGCAACTCTGAACCAGATGGTTTCTAGGGAGTTCTACCAAACCTTCAAAGGCAAATTAATAAGTAGCTTTCTCAAACTCTTCCAAAATACCAAGAAAGAGAGAATGCTTCCAAATACATTACTAATCCAACATTGCTCTGATACCAAAAGCAGACAGGGATATCACAAAAAGTGAAAACTATATGCCAATATCTCTGATGAACAGGGATGTAAAAACTCTCAACAAAATAACACCAGACTTAATTCAATAACACATTAAGAGATTAATGCATCATGATCAAGTGGGATTTATTCCAGGGTGATGAGGATGTTTGAACTTTCAAAAATGAATCAATATAATTCATCAGATAAAAGAAAGATAAAAATCATGACCATGTCAATAAATGAGACCAAACATTTGATAAAACTGAACACGCATTTATGATAAACACACTCAAAAATGAGGCTAAAATGAATGATAATGGCAATAGATGACAAATTCATAGCTAGAATAGTATTTAATGGTGAAAAACTGAAAGTTTTTTGTCTAAGAGCTGGTACAAGATAAGAATGTCTACACTTTCACCACTATTCAAAACAGTATTAGAAGTCCTCACTAGAATAATTAGGCAAGAGAATGATATAAAAGGAATCCAAATCGGAAAAAACTAAAACTATAATGATTTGCAGATGACATGAAAGTATACATAGAACCCTAAAGATACCACTGAAAAATTATTTGAAACAATAAATCATTAAGTAGCTGTTTACAAAATCAATATGTAAAAACCATTTGTTTTATATGCAATGCTCTATGGTAGACTATAGGTACCTTGAAGGTGGGTATGGTTGGGTGGGGTGGGGTGGTGTGGGGTGGGATGGAGTGGAGTGGGGTGTGAAAAGCCTGAAGAGATGTGGCCTATACCTCTGAACCATATACAATGTTTTAAATCAATACAACCTCAACAATAACATTTTAAAATGCAATCTTTAAAAAGTAAATAATTGCTTCCCTTATTCATGAAAAGACAATATACAGACTTATACCCCAGAATAACATTTCATATCCTAATACTTCAACTAATAATTATGAATGTATGTTATATTCTATTGCAGCTTGCTTCTGCTTAAAAAAAAAAAAATTAGGTTATTTTAGTTTATTCCCAGCACATAAAGGAATGGTTGCTCATTTCCTGAAATAGGCTAAAGCTTGTTTTAGGGCTGTACTTGTTAAAGTAATTCCCTATAAACATGAAATTCGAAGTGATAGTAGTTAATATAAATGATTTCCAGGAAAGTAATGTTAAATCCTAGGTTTAAAAAATGGAAGAAAGTCACTAGAACTTATCACTGCCAACTACAACATCACACCTCTAGAATCCTACCTCCTTCACACATTCCTGCACATACAACTTCCATGTTGTCTGCTCAACCTTTTGTAGTCACACCACTACATAAATAAGAAAAATGAAATTATTTGCTGAAGTATCTGGGACAATAAAATTTAGGTATTCAGTTCTAACATGTCCTCCAAAGGTGCTTCGTAACACTATAGAAAATCACATCTCCCACTTAAGTCAAGCGCCAGTTTCTGCCCAGTACAATCTATTTATGATTGACTATTCCATTTCAAACACTCCTGAGTAGAATACCAAAAGCATATGGATGCTGGTGGCCTTGTTGGATACTGTTTTCTTCATCTTCTAAGATCTTCATACTCCGATGTCTCATGCCCAGTCTAATATTAAATGAAGTAAGTTTCAGTGCATTCCCTGGCTGTTCATCTCTACACTCTTAATCTTTCCACACATTGTCTTTAATATCAAGAAACTATTCTGCTCTAATCTGATCCTTGTTTTTTAAATCTAAAATTCAACCAACCTTCTTTCTATACCACCACAAGCCAATTACTCTCACACAACTCAACCTTTATCGAGATATATCCATATCCTTATATTTTCTAAAAGGATTAGAAATTATAATGCATGCATGTTTTCACTTCATTTTAAAATATTGTCCATTTTTGCAGTATCAGTTTAAGATCAAAGGAGATCTTTCAAGAAGATAGAAGCCAGTTTTTGCATCTAGGCAGAAATTTTCATTCAAAATTCTATATATGAGTAACAGAAATCACTTAAGATAATGAACCGTTTAAACTACGTAACTACAATGCGTATGCAGTTATGACAACAAAGTATTTTACGTAACTTGCAGCCATGTTGAGGCCATAATGTACAGGTTATAGGACTGACCACATTAATGACCACAGAACTAATGGAAGGAAAATTGTGAAATGCCTTCTGGTGACTAACCACATTTGCAAGGTAGTAAGTGATAAACATGGGAGGTGAAGAACAGGGAAGAACTGGAATCTGTCTACCAATATTGTACTAGCATTTTACACTGGAAATTTGTTCTGCCCTGTCAAAAGGTATGATATATTAACACATGAATTGGAAAAGGGACAGGAAGTGGGGAGAGAAAGTGGGAGGCAGATCACGAGAAATAATGAACTGAGGTGGTGCAAGGGGTTCAGTGTCAGCACTGTGAGCTATGGGCAGCCACGGCAGCACAAGTTCCATCCCCGGCCAGGGAGCTGACCACCTGGCACAGCACACCTCCCCTCAGCAGGGTATTTCAGCACATCCACCTGTTCTGGTCCCCACTCTGTCACTGGTGATCTCTCTCTCTCTCTCGCTCTCTCTCTCTCTCTCTCTCTCGCACACCATCTCACATATACCTCAGCTCTTGTATGCATAAATATATAAATTGTTTAAAAAAATAAAAGTAAGTATGTGTCAAACACTTCAGAATGTTTTTAATCTACCAAATAAAATGAGCCTAAAAAAAACACTATCAGCATTATATGCTGTACTTTTAATTTCATTTAAAAGAAAGATTACCTTAAAGCTATATTAGATTTGCCAAGTTAAATTCAATTTCCCAAATAAAGTACTCTGTACTCAGTCATTATCATGATAACCATTATCATCCAATGGTTTTCCTTAATGCTGTTAGAGTACACAACAGTAGTTGGCAATGCACTTATTTGAAAATTGATGCTCAAAACAAAAATCACCTAAAATCTCAGAAAGCAGCCCTTTTGGAAGATATCTATTAGAAGATGTAACAGATTCTCACCTTCACATTGGGTTTTGACAGTAGTTTCAACAGCTCTGTAATCTCACTGTTTAATGGCTTATTCTGAAGTTCTTCAGCCAACTGCAAGGGAGATCACATTGACATACAGTTTAGTCAGTCTTGTGTAGCTCCATCTGTGACAACTGAGAATCTATCTTGCTATTTTCCAGTGATTAAGATGTCAGAAAGAGCAAAAATAGACTGTCAGTCATTGACGCTTCTGAGGCCACGGGAGCCCAGATCCCAGCTCAGACTCTTGGCTGACTACAACTCAAGGAATCCATCAGCCAGATCACCTTTTGATTTATTGCAATGAGGTCAAATCCCAGCACTTCACCTACAAATCGGTCTTTTGCATGCAGACAAAGGACCACTTGTATAAAAGGACTGGATCTTGTTTTGACACTGTTAAAAAAAAAAAAAAAGAAAGAAAGAAAAAAGGAGGGAGGAGCTTCTGAATGAGGTGGTGAAATCCACAGTGTTTCCAAAAACCCACAGTAGCCTGCTGTTTATAGAATGAGGGAGGAAAGACCTAGAATGCCTCTAATAGAGCAAATGGTCTGAAACATCTATTATGTTTACCTACACAGATGAAAAAGTCTGTTAAATAGGAGCCAGCTTCATCAGAAAATGATTTCCACCAGTTACTCTAGTACCAAAAATGCAGACTATTCTAGTACAATGATCAAGAATTCTCATTCATGGGTTCTAGCTAAAGAAAGGGTTAGCACTTTAAATATGCTCAGGTTCTTCATTCAAAGAAAAAAAGTTCTATTCAATTTTATGCTATAAGAGGATCATAAAATTTTCATAAGGTAAAAAGCAAGATTCAATCAGAAAAAAATAGATTAGAATTACAAAATGTGGACTTTATAATTCAAAATATTTTTTCATTTAAAAACCCTTCTTAAAACATTCATAAAATTTCCATTTGTCCTTAATGTTTCTACCAAGCTAAAAATAATAGTTCTTATCTCTGGGAAAGCACTTGTCTCTAAACGAAGGGGAAAATATAAATTATACATCAAACAATTATAAATATTTTTATTACATCTCAAAAAGTGATTTTACTATTTAAAATTAATATTTCTACTTTCTTCAAGAAAGGAATTTTTAACTTACAGAAAGATGCTAAAGTCTCTTTGCACTCTTTAATATCTCAACAGAAAGCAATATTTTAAATATTTAAACATACAGCTCTGATGAATTTTAAAGTGCTGTGTTTTACCACATTTACATCTTAGCCTCTAATTTTTTAAAATACTGTTGTGATGACTGGGCCAAACTGCATTGGTTTATAAACAACTATTCTCCCAGGTACTCAACATTAAATGTTTTAAAACTGATTTTAATGACTTTCACAAGTGGCAATAGCAGTTTACTGATTGACCTATGCCTGCATCTCTATTCACTGTCCCAAATGCTTTGGTTGTGCAATGTGGAGATTCCTGGTAAAATGTGTGTATTTAAATATCCTTCTAATTTGCAATCTCTCTTGATAAAAATGGAAAGAAAAATGGGGAATAAAAAACCACTGGGATATCTTTACATACATTTTACCTAAGTTACAATATTACAATATGAAATATTTCAAAGAAAATCAAACCTGAAGACAGTCCACTTTTAAATTGTACTTGTGGTCCCAATATTTTACTCAATTGAATTACAGTTTGTTTTGTCATGTGACAATAAAACACTAAAAAGCAACACATAACCTCTAGGATATCATGAAAAACCAGCCTCCACACCAAACTTATTTCTTGTCAAACTTAGTGTCCTTTATAGTTTATCCAGGTGTGCTCTCAATTCATCCGAGTCGGAAAGTTAACAGTAAGAAATAGCAAGTTAGTTCCCTCCCCCAGATATAAAATAAAATTATAGCTACAGGAAATTAACTACTCCATCAATGCCAACTGCTTCTAAAATTTATTTTTTGGTTATGATGGTAATTTGGAAAGGTCTAATAGCCATAAATCATTACTATGCTTTATAATTCATTTTAAAAACAATCATGCCTTTTCATGTATTTCCTATGCCTCATGCCTATGCTAGTATCTGTCATTTTTTAGTACTGTCAGCAATAGAGCCATCTCATTTGTCTTTATTTCTCCAAAGCATTCCTCTTGTCTGTGACTTTCTCAGAACACTAACAGCTGACAGCTCCTCTATCCCCACAGAATTACAGCCTAAAATTTCTATTACATATTTACCGAGGCCGAACAAGAGGGTAGCTACGTGAGTAAGCTCAGTGATGACAGAACTCTTGGAAATATTTGCGACTTCTCCTGGTTTTGATTATAGGATCACATGCATCTGTCCACGGTAGGATGAGACCTGCTCTGGGCAGGCCCGGGGGGACGTGTCCCTGAGCTGAGAAAGGCTTACTTACGTCATCGGCCAAGGCCGCTGCACCGTGGAGGATGGGCACAGGGCTCTGCTTCTCGTAGTAGTGTAGTTTCTCATGAATCTGGAGAAGAAGCAAATTTAAATTCACTGGCTAGAAAACAATCTGACATATTTAAATATTTTTATCATGGTAAATAAATATGATCCATGAATGCTCTAAACGAAAATGTGTGTATGTATATGTGTATATATATCTCACATGTATGTATATATATGTTTCTAAAAGTCTGTGGATGATAAATGTGTACATCCATCTATTACATGATCCAGTGTTTATAATATGAAGTCAAGATCAATAGAACCTCCACAAAAATGAAACCTCTGGTAATCCTCCCCATCCCTAACCATTAGCTTTATAGAATCTTTACTTTCTAAAACAAATTGCTTCTATACTTCAAGTATTGGTTATATTTTACCATTCTGCTAACCACATAAATTATGATTAAAGCAGAGATAAGCTGGCAGCCACATTCTGCAGCTAGGTCCATGACAAGCACCAAAGAAGAAGCGGGACTCTGAAGACATGGTGTCAGCACCCCCGGAACACCCACCAAGCACACTGCTCCTTTTACTTCTTTTTTCAAGCAATCTCCCTACCCATTCAAATGTCTAAGAACAAAGGGATTTCTCATGACTATCTAGCGTTCTTAATAGAATGATTTTCCATATTGAAAAACATGTAATATTAGTCATAAAAATTTCGTTCTTCATTTCCCAACATCATTGTCCAAGAAACACACAGGCAAAAATCTATTTGCATCATTTTAAGACAAACTAAGTCCCTTTAAAATCTAGGACTATAGTTAAGAACTGAAAGATTACTTTGACAAATGCGTAACCATTGGCATTTAAGCTTCATCTCTTTTAGCTCTTATGCAAGTGTCCTTAATATTTTGTATTGGAAAACTTCTTTAGCCTCTTCTCATTTGTAGTTCAAGAAACTGCCCCCACTGTATATGAAAAACAGTTGCACCTCACAATTTCCTGTTCTTAATAGGCATCAAGTAATATAGTCTTTAATTATACTGCAAGCTAACCAAACTCCCTTGTAAAAAGTCTGGAAGATAGATTTATTTTGATTAGCCAGATGCTAGTGCTAAGAGAGGATTCTATTACCTTTTTGGCAACGTGGTCTAAAATGCAAAGCATCAGGGAAAGTATTTTGACACTTATGATAATACCAGAATGATCAAGGCAACCTTTTTTGCTTAATTTCTTGGAAACTTCAGTCATTTATCACATTAGGGTAGTAAAAAATTTGAAAGGATACACACTACAAAAGGAGTAAGATTTTACTTGAAAACTAGAGAGTATAACTTAAAACAAAGCCAACTATCTTCCAAGCTCATTTTACCGAAACTCCTCAAGAATTAGGTCACTTCAATATATACTATCATAGGACTCAACTAACTTTCATTTGTTTGAGTATCTGCTCCCTATGATGATAAAAAGGTGGCTTACACATCTGGACACATCTGCATGCCTGCAAGCCTCCAGAACAGTGATCAGGGATACCAGTAAGAGAGTCCCCAAGAAGTACAGTCCTTCCATTCCTTAACACTCACAAACACACGTAGAGTAGACTGTGTCACTGTCCTACCCGACAGACACACCAGAGTTAAGCAACTTGCTGCGGGCCCAGAAATAGTAAACAGCAGAGCTGGGATTTAAAACTCTGGTTCTCTGGCTCAGTGTCAGGATTCTTTATCACTGCACTCACCCGGCGCAGACTAACATCTTGTCTGCATTCTTTCCTGACCTCACTCGCTGCTGAATGAACATGACCTCGTTGCGGGGCACAGCAAGGAGGCTACACAGACACAAGACAATTAGCAAGGGCTGTTTTCAGTGCCAGGATAAAGGAGGGCTCCTCTCTTTCCTTCCCCCTTGTTTTGTTTTCCCGATGGCTCCTACCTTTTCTAGACTGACTTGTATTAAGTACAACCTAAAATTATATGCCCAAATAAACGGACATTTCTCTACTTTGCTTCTTCTGCATGTCTTTCAGACACTCTCCCCACTCTTGTCTAGCTCCTCACCCAAGGGATTCAATAGGCCACTCCAGCCCCGCCTACCCCTACACTCCACTCCACAAGAATTCTGTAAATGTTATCTTAGAATTTCACCATGTTGGCAACCTATGTGGGTATGTGCTTTACTTCAGAAAATTCACTTTAAAAATGAAATTGGTAGGAAAGCGAAAACTATTCTGAATCCTTCTGAACTATTCAGTTTCCAAAAGCATTCTGTTTTTAATGAATATTGGCAGTACAAGGGAAGAAAAATAAAAAGCAAACTGATTTTTACAATTCTAGTAAACATATCAACATGTATAGCCTTTACCGCAGGTTATCCCAAAAAAGCTTGCTGTTTCTGCTTGTGTAGTACAGTTAGTCACTGGTCACATGGGACTCTGGGGCACTCGATGGTAGTTATTGTAGTTGAAGAACTGAACTTTTAAATTTAATTAATTTAAACAGAAGTACCCAAATGCATCAAGGGGCACGCCAGATAACAGAGCTTCCAGGAGACACTCTGATTTTCCTTTACACCCCAGAAAACTTCACTCTGATGGAGCTTGGTAAGTTTCCAAATGGTACTGTCTTGGAATCCTATAAATACATAACTACACACATGGTTTAATCAAATAAGACAAACCAGCTTCTGTTACTATGTACCACGTATAGCAAAATCTCATTTCAACTGAACATTTTGCTTTGCAGATTCAGCTATGTAATAAAAGTATACTTCATTTTTTTTAATCCCTCAAATAACAAACAAAGGCACAAAGTTGGAAGAGTTGAGGGAAGAAAGGAGATAGATGAGAGTAGAGAAGTTGAAGAGGAGGCTCTGGTTGAGTTCATTTCATCTGCCAGAAAAAATATATAATTGTTTAAAAGTAAGATCCAAAACCAATGGCATGCCAAATATTTAAAATTCACAATTAAGGAAAAAAGGACATTCCAAAATGTTTACTCTTTGTTACAGTAAATAGTGCACATGCACGTGTCCATAGGGTTGTGTTCTATAATTACATCTGTAATCAGAAAAAGTCAGTTAAACTTAAAATAACCTCTACAGCCAACTCTTCTACGAAAGTTATAACTGCCTTCATTTACATAGTACATTTACTGAAAGGAATTTTTTGTAAGGAAATCTGATGTCTGTCATCTAACTTTAGTATACATATAGAACATTTTTAAATAAAGTTTTAAAAAAAATCAGAAATAAAACTCAACTTGCCTGAATGTAATCATTTGTTTTAAATCTCTCAATGATGCATAGAAGTATTGAAACTAAAAAACTCAATCATGGTTACCTGAATGAAATTAAATAAACCACAGCTATAAAATGATACCCATGTCTTCTATTATCCCCATAAAAAGTACTGAAGATAACTGCTTTGGTGTTTCTCTTTCACTGCAGGCAAGGCAGCCTACAAGCACCAGCACCCAGCAACCACCAGTGACCGCACAAGCATCACAGGAGAGGTGTTCACCAAGGACCTGGACTGGTAGATCAAGCAGCTGGACAAATAGAAGCAGCAATCTGAGTCCCAAGTCAAGAGCCTCTGCAAAAATGGCTAATGGAACCCTCACAAAAGAATCAGGCTCGCAAGAGGTGAAATGTCAGTTACCAGGGCAGATGTGTGCACGCACCTCTGTGAACTCGTAGGACGGTTTAGAAGTGGTGGCAAATCACAGGCTACCGAAGACCTGTCCATGGCAGAGGATGTTGACAGAAGATATTCAGTCAGAAAACTGACTCTGCCTATAGTTTGCAAGGTTTATTATGTGAATGCACCACCAGGAAACCTTGAGGCACAGGGCGCAGAGTACAGAGCTATGTGGTTCCTCTGATGCACGTTCGGGGAAGTATGGAAATGGAGTGTTTGGAAACACTACACAGATCTTTTTGGAGATCTTTCTCACCAGTGAGCCTCACGAATGGATACATCGCAGCACCTGATGGCCCAAGAGAGCTCCCATGAGGGGTCACCCTACTCACAGTGACAAGACCATGGCTGGCTGGCCCAAGGCTCCCACTGGAGTGGGCTTACACCTCTGAGCCAGGTGTCCTGAGACAGGATCATACCAGATCCATGCATTGATGTAAGAGCTCAATAGCACTGGCTTGGGCGTGCCAAACCGGTGCCTGGACAGGAAAGGAGTACCAATGTCCGTGCACCCTACTATAAACATGATTGTAACCACTGCCATCCTGCCCTTGATGAGACCCTAAAGCACTCTTTCTTGCAGCTCAATCCAGCAATTCCCAGAGGCAAGTATGATGGTCATACTTCGACAAACTCCTATAGTGAAATCTGAAGCCTCTGTGGTGTTGTCATGAGCTATATATTGACCTTACAGAGGCAGGGAGAGCAGTGGGGACTCCAAAGAATACATAACATTCAAAAACCTGATTCTTCACAGACTAAAAGATGTGCCACATAAAATGTCTAAGCCTCTTGTCATCCACACTCTGACCACTGAGCAGAAGCCAACTCAGCACAGCAGTGACACTGATGCTCACGACCCAGCCGGGGAGAGTGCTCTGCGGAGCTGCTTCAGCAGGTGTAAGGTGTAAACATTAACCCCTTGTAAAGGAAATGTCCACTGAGCTGCTGCAACACATGACCACAGAACAGCAAGAGAGTAGCAAACAATCGTTGCTAAGAAATCAATGCCAAGGTGTTCCTTCTACTTGTGAGTTTTGACCTTGTACTCTTGCTTTTGCGGGATACTGCTTAACTGCATGACTTGTCTACCCTCCCTTCACCACCCTTCTCAAACCTCAGCCTTGGGGTGTTCTCAACAGGACTGCTTTTCTGCCACCTAGAACACGATATTGCCGCACGAGGCAAGTGTTGCTTCTTGTAAGAAGCTTGTAAAAATTAAAAAATGGAAAGGAGGGAATTCTGAGTATTGAGAAAAGATCCATGACACATTACAACAGATAGCAACTGGAAAGGCACATGGCTCTGAAAGGAGGCAAAGATGAAAATATTCTAATGGCTGGACCATCTTCAAAAAAACAATTATTCTCCGGGCCCTCCCTGGT